TTTTTTTTTTTTTTTTTTGTTTGAAAAAATGTCTTCCAAAAATCCAATTTCCAGTTCATTTTCCCTCGTCCAAGTTTTAAGTTATGGTTTTAACTAAAACTATTTGTCACCTCAGATTATTCTGCAAGGAGTTATACCGCCAACACGGTCGCAGGTTTTTTCCGAGGGGTCACCGTATATGGCGTCGCAATGGCCAAGTTTAAAATACTTTATTTTTTTTTCCAAAAATTGTAACAATAAAAAATTCAAATAAAATATTTCATTTTATATATTATAAAAAAATTGTTGAAAAATGGCCGCGAGGAAACCCATGTAACCGCTTGAAATTCAAAAAAAGGATTTTTGTAAATAAAATTTGAACTCGTTTTATAAATAAAAAAAAAGTATTCTATTCTACCAAAAAATTAATTATAGATTTTTGACAATTCCGTCTTATCAATAGTTTTGAAATTTTATATAAAAGTTTCAAATGAATATTTGCATGTGTTTTATATTCCAAAATTGATTTTCTTTTTTTATTTCAAATTGACTTAAAATATATTTTTAACCATAAATATTTTACTTATTTTCCTATTGGATTAAATCTATTTTTTTTACTTTAAAACTTAAATTTAATTTCTTACATTTTTACTATTTCTCTTTAAATATCAATAAATTTTATTTTGCAATCCATTTGAGTAAAAGTGAGCAATTGAATTTCCAACAAATTCTAAACATAATCCTATTAAGAATTTGTTTTTATAATTATAATAATTTAAGGCCGAACAACAACCAAACTCGTTGAGTGCACTTGTAATATTTGCGGAAATTTATGACGCTTATTGATTTCCACGAATTACTGATTCATTTGTTGTTGGAAATTTATGCCATTTCAATTTGGCGCTTCCATTTATGAATATCTAATTTAATTGCAACATTTATTGCGCTTCACTAATTGGAACACATTATTAATATTATACTTTCAGATTTACACAAGTCAAAGCGGGCGCAACAAAGCAGCTAAAATACAAAAAAAAAAATACCGCAGCAAGAAAGAAGCAGCAAAAAAGCTATACAACAATTACAAGTGAGTAAATATTAAGTGGATCAGTGAAGAGAGCATTTTTAATTGATGTTTGATTACGCAAATAAAAGCTGGCGAAGCGAAGCTGGTTATGTTTATGAGTGCGTATGTATGCTTGTGTGTATGCGTGTTCGTCTGTATGTGCTTACGCCGATAAGTGCTTAATCTTGCATAAAAGCACGCTTACTTATGTACTTACATGTAGGGCAGAAAAGCACACTTAAATGTTAAGAAGCGTGAATATGTAYGTATGTACTTGTATATGTATATACATATGTATGTGTGTGTGTGGCTTGGTGTAGCAAAGTAGCACTCGTTTTGACCTCAATCGATTGATTAATGGCCCACAGCAGCAACGAGCCATTTGGTGTGCACACTCCATATATTATCTATGTGTGTAAAGCAGCTGGTTTTTGCTGCGAATCTGCAGAAGCTACCACCACGGAAGCTGCAAGGTAAAAGCAACAGCAAAATTTATTTACTCAGACACACACACACATATATATATTAATATTTAAGCACACTGTACCCTCATCAACCTCTAGGGATTTCAGTATTATTACCCGCCGACGCATTAATGTATGTCATTGCAATAATTAATTGACTACAACAATAAAAATAACAACGACTAGCTGCCAGTATGCGCCAACGATCCGTAATGCTGATTTCTCTGCGGAATTTTTATTTGCCTATTATATCGATATTTCCGTCATAGTCGAGTAATTTGCGCAAATTAAAGCAATTTCGTTTCTCGATTTGATTTCCCTTCAATTTCGTCTGAATTAACCATTCATTAGCTGACGCTGGTTGTTGTTGGTGTAAAGTGGTTGACTGGCTTGGGTCGCTTAAATTTTTCATTAACACACTTCTAGCCGAAACAGCCACAAGCAGCTGACAGTTTGACAGTTGGGCTGCTGCTAGGCTATATGCTAAACTAAAGCACTAATATCAGCAGCAACAACACGCGCACCACTACACGTAAGAACACCTTTGCGTTGAGCACTCATGTTTGAGTCTGCGTGTTTGCCTTAGCCTATCTTACGGCGGCAATCTTTCCTATCAGACGCATACGTACATATATATACACGCCTACACTCATAAATCACTGGTTAAAAAGTTTTGTTGTTGCTTGGTTTGCCGGCATCGCCAGGCTTGCCGCTGAGCGTGTGTGTTTGCGTGAATAAGCAAAGTTGAACAAAGTAACGCTGCTGCGCTACAGTCATACAGACTCACTGACCCAAACTGCCGAAACTCTATGCCTGTCATGTCCGATTAGGCTGTGCCAGTGCGTTGTAGACAAGTGGCGCGACTAAAGCTGTATAGCCACAATAACCCTATCGGGCAGAAGACATTGAATGACCAAAAGCTCTTAGCAGCCGCACGAATTTTAGTTTTCTAACCGCTTGGCAGTCAACAGCACCTTCCCATTTCCTCTGCTAATTTTGCTAAAAGTTTGTTATTCTCCTGCTCCCACATCCGCTCTAACGTGCAAACGCGCACAGAAAAAATGATCGCTTTTTGGCAGCAGCCAGACAGTTCACGCAAGTTTAATTTCTCACTTAAAGTTTTAATAATTTCCGAGGCTGAAATTAATTTTTTGCATAAAGTGGCAACATGGCCTTCGAAAGGCTTAAATTTACGTCTCTGTGTACAATAAAGTTTAAAAACCTGATTTCTGCGAGAGTCTTCGGTTTATGTTTTAACTTGCTTTACTTGTGTGGGTTTGTCTAATTTAACTTTATGATTAGTTTTTAGTCGCTCGCAATGGCTTTAGTTAATGTGTTTGAATAGTTTTCAATTTCGATTCGCCATCGATGGTAAAAATATATATATAATTGTTATTTGTGTTTGGCTGAATTAAGGAAGTAGATAAATACTTAAGTAGTCATTTTCTTCTTGTTTTGAAATTGGGGAGTGTGTGGAGCAAAAAAAAATGTCGCCAGTTTCCGCTATCTTTGCGAGCTAACGCCAGTTGTACATTCCAAGAGCAGACAGGTCTCTATGCACTCGGTCATTTCATTTGATGCGTAGCCGCCTTTTATGCCGTTGTCCACCCATGGGTCTCGAATCGAAAGTGTTTTTCACTGAGGCATTGTCTACATACGTTTGACTATAGCCTAATCACTCCTTGAATTTTTACTTGCTATAGCCATGTCACTTTAAACTTCGTAGAGTTCGTGATTTGAACGTCACGTCAACGCCCACGTGGATGGCTACAAAGATCATTAATGTTGCAGAGACTAGTTCTCTCGAATAATCCACGTGCACTACCATCACGGTTAGTCATTCTCTATCCATATTTCTGCGCCATATAATATGAGAATGATTACAGATCATTAAAATATTTGTAAGTTAGCAGTTAGTGACAACCCTGCTATTCAGATGTTTTTATACTCTCGCAACAAAGTTGCTAAAGAGAGTATTATAGTTTTGTTCACATAACGGTTGTTTGTAAGTCCTAAAACTAAAAGAGTCAGATATAGGGTTATATATACCAAAGTGATCAGGGTGACGAGTAGTTGAAATCCGGATGTCTGTCTGTCTGTCCGTCTGTCCGTCCGTCCGTGCAAGCTGTAACTTGAGTAAAAATTGAGATATCATGATGAAACTTGGTACACGTATTTCTTGGCTCCATAAGAAGGTTAAGTTCGAAGGTGGGCAAAATCGGCCCACTGCCACGCCCACAAAATGGCGGAAGCCGAAAACCTATAAAGTGTCATAACTAAGCCATAAATAAAGATATTAAAATGAAATTTGGCACAATTTGGACCTAATTTTTTTGGAAAAGTGGGCGTGGCCCTGCCCCATACTAAGTTTTTTGTACATATCTCGAAAACTACTATAGCTATGTCAACCAAACTGTAYAGAGTCGTTTCTTTTASGCATTTCCATATACAGTTCAAAAATGGAAGAAGTCGGACAATAACCACGCCCACCTTCCATACAAAGGTTATGTTGAAAATCACTAAAAGTGCGTTAACCGACTAACAAAAAACGTCAGATACACTAATTTTACGGAAGAAATATCAGAAGGAAGCTGCATCCAGGCTTTTTTTAAAAATTGAAAATGGGCGTGGCGTCGCCCACTTATTCACCAAAAACCATATCTCAGGAAGTACTCAACCGATTTCAATGAAATTCGGTATATAATATTTTATTAACACCCTGATGAAATGTACCAAATATGGGTGAAATCAGTTCACAACCACGCCTGAAATCTCGATTATCACTCTATCATGTGAGAGTATCAAATGTTCGGTGACACCCGAACTTAGTACTTCCTTACTTGTTTTTTTTTTTTTTTTTGAAATAAAATATTTGTAAATGTGATAAAAATATTACTTTAAAGGTTTTAAAGTTTATCCTACAATGCAATTTCTTTGTTTTTTATTAGACTGAATTAGGTGGCAACACTACTCGAAATTTTACAAAAATATGACTTTAAAGGCTTTAAAGTTTATCCTGAAAATCCTACAGTTCAAGCCTATTCGAAATTTTACCAGATCTAAAAGTACGATTAGAATATTTTCCGATTTTTATTTTAAAATATTTTTTGGCTTTCTACTTCTACAAATTTTTTCATCGTATTTAAATTTGAGGAACTTTGCACTGTGTATATTGACTTCTCTAATTCTTCATTATTGAAGTAGACATCGCTTACGTGGTTATAGCCGGATTACCTTTTCATTGGGAGTGTTTTTACGTAGCGGGTTCACAACTCTTGGGAGGGATAATTCGCCTTATCACTTTAGCTCACTTTCAAACAATCTTCTTCATCTTCGAATAGGCGTTGTATGACAACTATGTTCAAAGTTACGCATATTTGGATAGTATTAATGGGTTAATATAACGGTTACATACCGGCTATTCTTATAACCTTTTTCAGGTCAATCATATTGTGTTAATAGCCCTAATAAACACACATTTCTTTTTTCGTAGAACTCAGTCAATAAATCTTTCACTATCAGCATTTGAATATAAATCCTAATCCCGAACAATAATAACTTGAATCCTTTTATGGTCATATGAATTATCTACTAATTCTGCGTGATGATTTTCAATATTTGCAATTATAAACTAGTTCGCAATTTCGTTATAATTTCTAAAGAATCAGTTATGCATTTGGTCAAATATATATTTGTATATAGAGTACGCAGTTATAATGAAAGTTTTGAGTAATAGAAACCAATCTTACCAACAAACTAAACTCAAATCTCTAATCTGCATAATTTACGCAAGCTTTAGCAGAATTCATTTCCATTATGCAATTAATAATGAATTGCAAAGCAAAGTTTTAATCGTTCTAGCTTCGAGTGCTTGATGAAGCATACAGAGTATACCACATTATATATTTGTTGTTGTTGCATATTAACTCAAACTCTCCTTTGCCTTTCAACGCAAATGCCGTTCTATGCTTGCTGGCAACCTTACTCTCCGCGCCTTCAACTTTAATTGCAAATGCTTAAATTTTTGCGCGGCAGATACTGCGCTGTTGGAAGATGCAACACACCAATAAAGCACGCTGCACTCGCTACTATAGTTTTTCTGCTTTCTTATTTTATTTTTCTTTTTTGCTCCTTCATCTTTTATGTTCGTTGTATATAAAAATTAAGCTGCTTAATCTTCCTATTGTCTATTGTTTGCTGCTAGTTTCTGCAGCCAAATGAAGCGTTAAAGTTATAAATAAAGTTGACAGCGCAATAAACAATCAGAAAGTGTCTAATATAGTATAATATAGTTTTTAAATAGTTAACTTTCAGTTAATATATTTTATGACTCTACAAACTTATGTACAGTCGTGTGCTCATAAATATGTCGAACATGATTTTCTTATACAATTTTAATTTGTGCAAAAGATGCGTTCGATGCAACAAAGGCTTAGTATCTCTCGCATAACTTGTCACAGACTAAATACGCATTGCATATAGGGATAATTTTACTTAATATATTCCACTCAGTATGATTATAGAGCACCTCTAACTATCATAATAAGTACTTAAATT